TGCTGTCCTCTGTACATCATTGTGCTACACGAAATACACATTCACAGTCACACGACATTCACAAGTAGTACACTTAGTACGGAAATTGTGACAAGTGTACGGATACAAATGTCCGCAACACTTCCGGTAATGATTTACAGTCACCCCGAACGCTGAAGCTCATTTCACCGGAAAAACGAAAAGATGGTCGGGCTAATTAATCAATTAATTCTTTATAGTCGTTATATTCATCATATGTGGTATCGCGCGTTATTGAACCATCGCGCAGGCTTCGTGCGTTTAAGTTTAAACGAAGAATTTAAAAATATTCAGATTGATGTGCTTTATTTACAAACGGAAACGAGGCAGACGAGTACATTCGCGCCGCGAGAAAACAGTGTCGGTTCCGATCGAAAAATTCGTGAGAAAACCGAGTGTCTTTAAGTGTCGTAATCAGCGTTCGCATTGACATTGAAATTCACACTGAGAAAAGAGATTTTGTTAGATAAAAATGATATCATAGCGCACGATCGCGGGATATACATAATATGTGTGTATAAATGTGTCCCTGTATTTCAGTGTCCCCAAATTAGTAGAGAAAGAGAAGTGATGGATAACTATTAATCAAATTAACATAGTCTAATATATGAATAAGTAAATTACTGTTTTGTTTTATTTGATAAAAAAAATCAGAGGTTTTGTTTTTTCCTGAGAAATGGTGCATTTCGAATCGAATTTTATCTGCTTGCGGCATATCGATAAATCCACTTTTATACATTCTAAAAAAAAAGAAGATCAAACTGTTGAAAATAACAGTTTGAAAATTTTAGATGAAACATTCCACTTTGTTACCTCGCAGAATTATACCTAAATAAAAAATGATCTTGTGAAAAAGATAAATATTTAAAAGAGAGAACGGTAAAATATAACGGTAATATATAACAATTGTAATTGCATATATTTTGTTTACGTTTATCAGTAAGTCAACAAATTTTTTAAAAACTAGTAATTAATGATTTATAAAAATAGAGAAATGATAAATGCATTGAAAAATTACCGTCAATATTTTACTATATTCACAGCGTGCAATGAATAATATCTATTTCTCGAAAGACAAACGTAACGATAATGACAACAGTGTTTAATAATGTTCTATTAAATGATAAAAATAACGCTATTCTTTAATTATCGTCGTTATTTTTTGCCGCAACAGACTGATTTATATCGTCGATATCGTCTCTCTAGAATCGATTTAATTTTATGTAATAACAAATTTTCCTTTGCCAAATTTGTCGTTTGCGAGTGAGCCACGTACATTATTCTTCCTTCTAACGACTTCTTCCGGCGAGAATGTGCCGTGCGAAAGACTACGAGGAATCTAGAGAAAGTATGGGCGCACGAAGATTAGCGACAAGAAATTATTCAGGAGAGAATGAGAGAATATGAGAGAAAGAGAGAGAGAGAGAGAGAGAGAGAGAAAGAGAAGCTCCTCGACGCCTAGGATGATTATATAACACGATAAAAAGTTTTTTAGAAACGAATACGCGAAGTCAATTCCTCGCCACTGACAGTGCGACAAAACGTGAACGCCTTTCGACCATAGTCAATCGAGATTGTCGGATGCGTTATAATTAAGTCAGGGCGAAATCACCCGAGTTAATCACGCTCACGCGCGTAGTGCAGTGGTATAGACATCTGAGTACATATACACACGTACATACACACGGATACAAATATACAGTCATACTCGTATATGCGGAGAGGAAGATTAATAATATAACAAACTATATAGAGAGTATTAAATAATGAATTTTATCGTCGCCAGGTAAGTTGGCAGTAGTTTCGCGAGGTGTAGCAAGAGAAGTATAATAATAATAAATAAAAAAAAAAAAACAGAAAAAGAGAAAGAGAAACTTATAGATATTCGACGGGCCGCGTTGCGCGTCGCTTTTTTCCATCCAGAAAACCACAAAACCCAGCCTCGAGATCGTTACAAGCGGAGTTCTCAAATTTAGGAATCACAAAAAAAAAAAAAAAAAATCAAACGGCGAGATTTTTATAAGGTGAAATTACGCAGCGGAGATGGGATTCGTCGATGCAGTTTTCGCGAACCGGTTGCAAGCCAATCGCGGATTAGATAAAATCGCAGGAGGATCACCTCGTTTCTTCATATCGACGATTTAATCGCGGCATGAAGAATCCTCGTAAAATCCGAGTTCACGCGCACGTCGGCCCAATTGTGTTTGACTTTCATTGATATTCAAGAGTACATATCGCCGGCATGTGAATTGAGAAGATGCACTGGGATACGCGGACGATGCAGGCGAACGTGGTGCATCCGATTTTCAAGTAATGACTTCCGTGCAATGATATTAGCGAGGGTTTGAAACTACGTCGCGCGAATTGTGTTTTTGACATATGACATTTCTGATATAAAGACGCGCTACGCGACATCGCGGTGAATGTTCAAAAGATTTAATATTAATTATTAGAAATAATTAATAGTAATTGTTAATCTTTAGAGGGCCAAGAGTTTTTTTTTTACATCATGAATATTTCACTTTACAAAGCAATGCGTTTGGTTGCTTGAAAAGCTTTCTTAGATTTCTTTCATAAAGATTAAATTTGAGAAAAGACTGCAAAACTTTCCGAACAACCCGATATCTATATGTTTGATTGATAACTTGCTTTAAAATATAAATACCGATGTTGAGACATTAATATCTTGCGACTCTCTAACGGTTAATAATATTAATATTACAATATTAATTATTTATAACAATGTTTATTTGACGCTAACTGTCGATGAAATTAACTAAATCTTTTTTTTTTTTTTCAAAATCGTCCGTTCACACAATTCCTTTTTGACCAGAATGAACGAATTACCTCTTCTCGAGGCTGTTTTCGCTGTCACAAAATATTGTCAAGAAGTTAATGGCAGTGATTTTAGATGAATGGCAGAAATAATTGAGTGTGAGAATTGTTTCTCAACTAGAGAAATTAAAATATTGTTTCAATATTGCTCACGTAACGTTAAGTAAATATTTTATCTTTTGCAAAGAAGTATTTCGATTGTTACTATGTACAGTGACGACGAATATCGCGATGATAATGTTCGTAGTAGTTCATGCTTGTATAAATTCTATGTCCTGTTTTCGTGTATAATTTGCTCGCATTGACTCAAATTGTGAACTATAAAAAAGAAAGAAATTTTTCTAAAATCGCGCGGATTAATAAAATTAGTTTTTCAGGCCATTTCTTGAACAATTTTGATTGGAAACCTGTTAATCCGTGCGATTTTAAGATTTACGGAAATTCAACGGGAATATTGCACAGCACAAGCGCAGCGTCCAAATATTTATCTACATATAAACGAATATATACTTTGAGGTGAATCTTCTAATTTAAATACACACTGAACATTGTATTTGAGACATTCGCGTAATGTTAGCCGAGTATAACGTTCCGCACAACATTACCCATCACTAGTAGCAGCATATTGAATGCAAATCGGGGCAGCGTATTGGAAAAGCAGGCAAAAATTGAGTAGGCAGTATATAAAAAAAAAAAAAAAGAGAGAGAAAGGAAGAAGAATAGCGACGAAGATCGAAGAGTATCGATCATCTGAGCTTCGAAGTCAATGCGTTTGACGTCTAGAACAAGTGTGTTATATATAAATATGAACATTATAAAATTTAGATTTATATATATATATAAAAATATATATGTAAAAGAGAATGTTATGTATAGAGAAATGGCAACGGTGGGGCGTGCAGAAACACACGAAAAATCTCAATTACGTAGTTACTACACTCTTCCTTCGCTATTAATATAATTTTATTCCATCATTATTATCATTATTGCCGAACGTGGATAGCGCTAGCAGTTTTATTATTACTATTTGCCACTTTTGTTATCCAGATTTTTTACAATGTACTATCATTGCGATTACTTATCACGATAAGTGTCAATTTCAGTATTATCACTCGACGCACGCGCGAAAAGCGGGGATTGCAGTTATCAATCGGCTGTAATTAATTTCAGACGAGCCCTACGATTGTCGAGAGATTCGTTCTGCCGTGATAATGAATTGTGAACAGGGCGCGATTTTCCTCCGAGCTTAAATCGTCCGTACGGATGCGGTCGCAATTGCGACTGCTTGTAACTATAGCAGTTCTTCTCGGCGCAGAGTTAGAAATAAATCGGGCCAGTGAAAGTAGATCGCGTAATCTTCCTGTTTAACGTTGTCATCCGACATGTCCTCGAATTTTAACGATGACCACATCTAGCGAACCGACTGCATTGCGCTCTCGAATGATATAATCTTCGCCAACCACTTAATTTGAGAATCAATTTATCAATTAATATTTGTCAATTATACGATATTTATTAAAATTAAAATTAATTTAGATGTCTAATTTCATTGATCGAACGATATAAGGACTCGAGTAATTAACAAATTGAGAATTTGAACGTGAAATGAAATGTTAACACGATATTTTTTGATCACGTAAAAACGATCACGTAAATCACGTCTTGTCTGAAATTTTCTGAACGTAATTGAAATGTGAAAAAAAAAAATAATTTCTTTCGACTAACATATCGTATATGTATGCAACGGCTGTTATATAGTAATAGTCGATGATTTCATCATTGACGACGTTCTATTTTTAATTCCATTAGGAATCAAGTAAGGAGATGCAATTCTTTTTAGTCTATTTTAATGTCTCATTTATGCCTAGTATTACTTTACGCCGATAAGTACCAGTGTTTCCATTAGCGTAACAAGTGACGATGGCGACGGTGACGCTGATTTTGATTATCCTTATTCTTAGTATCGATTATATACGCATACTATTCCGTTGTATTGTCCGACAACATCCATTATTTTGTAAAGAAGAATAAAAATATCTTGACAAACGTAAGAAAAACTAACAAGCCGTTTTATCATTTCATATTGTCTGCACGTTTATTTGTTCCATGAATCATACACCTTCCGAGATACGTGTTCTGTTGCATTCTCACAGAGTGTTGTAAGTGACATAGTAAAGAGACACCGGCGATGCGTATCTAATGAAACTCGAAGAACTCAGCGGAACTGTGCTCAGCGGCGCGAACAGTGTATTGACAGCGTGAGCTTGTTCGCTCGCAGGTTGCTGTTTCTTCTCCGGCGTCGCAGCTTCCTTAGTCAATATCGCTCCGCTCTTCAAGGCTGTCCCAGCCGGCGTGACTATGCCGGAAGCACCTGCGAAACAAGAACCGGGGGATCACTTTCACGCAAACTCATTTCTCGCACAAGCCTTATAATTTACTGTAATTTTCCGGCTTTGTTGCTGAATCAATTTGCACTATCAACGAGTTTACGAACCGGTCGCGATGACAGAGCGACCTCAGACGGTCTTCGGCCCCGAAAACACGTCCTTCGAAGAACAGTTCGTAAAACGCGATCGAAAGTGAAGGAACAATTTTAATTTTTTGATAAGATAATCTATGCACGCGACGTTATGTTTCGTTAAAAACACTGTTCTAAGAATATTACGTATTCTTTTGTGTCAAATTTTTAAATCACAACTGTGGAATTATTTGAATATTTATACAGAAACGTGTAGAAAATATATAAAACTAGCATGGAACGCCGAAACTGCGCGAAAGCGAAGATATTTGTCAAAAAAATAGCCCGCGGCAATTTAATATTTTATACAATCGGAGCAAAACAAGGAGTGAATGGCAGATTACGATCGTAGCGACCTTGCACGATCGATGACTCCGGTATGGCGGAAGGCTCAATCTCCTGGTTTCCAAGGGAGATCCGAAATATCGGCACCATCGCGGGTTGCACCAATGATTGAGGTAATCGCTCGTGAGTGGAAATTAACGGAATCACTGGAACATTCGCGTCATGGAGAATTTCCTGCGATGCTTTTCCGGAAGATTCCTGTTGATCATTTTCAAAAATGCTGATAAAGGATTTTGCAAAAAATATTTGAAATGCTAATATAATATTTCTCTCATTATATGAACTTTTAATTAGATTAAATTCTATTAGATATTGCCTTGATATTCGCAAAAGTTGAAGATGATAATTTAAACTTAATTTGTTAAATATATACACACACCTCGTGGGCTCCTTGCAACTTCTCGCTCTCCTTATCAACGCCACTTTTAGATGCAACTGCTTGCAGAGTCTCGTCACTATTTTCCTTTAACTCAACATTTTCGGCGCTCTTCGTTACTTTTTGCTCTACTTTCTGCTGCCGATTTTCCACGGACTTAGCTTCCGGCTCTTGCGATCTGCTGAGAAGCGCGTTACTTTGGTTCCCCTCAATTTTCCTTTCCTGCGCGTTTTCCTGAATCTCTTGATTCTGAGCCTCTTCGTCTCTCCGCGCTGCCAGTTCTAGAGCCTGAAGGTGCGCCGTGCGCGCGGCTACCACTTCCGGCGTGTCCTGGACCGGAAGCGGCGCCTGCGGCAAATTCGTGGCGATCACCTGGAATCCATGCTCGCCGTCGGCGATGTATTGCGTGGTCTGGATGACGCCGGTCTCGTCGATGTAGCTGTAAGTGCCTCTGGTCGCGCCATTAGCCGTTCTGACTTCTGATCTAGCCGATCCTGGCGCACTGTAGCCGAAACTGTATTGGCCCAGGCTGTCTTGATAGCCGAGGAACACCGCCGGCTTGGCAAAGCCAGTGGCGAATAAACAGCAGACAAGGAAAAACTGAAAGCGCGTGATCAGACTTGTGATTTGCGTAACTTGCATTATGGCTTACGCGATGTCTGTCAGGTTCGCGAAAGGTGTTCAGATTAAAAGGGCTTAAGATTAGGTACTTGATATCGCCAAATAACATTGCAGTGAGATAGGTATCAGCAATTTACCTAGAAAAATGACATGATTTATCAAATTTCTCATGTACATCCATGTTGGATATAAATTCATGTGTGCTTCAAGATTTTGAGGTTTTCAAAATAAAAATATTGACCCGCTATAGGTTTTTTTAATTTTGCACATGCTGTATAAATTACAAGAACAAACAAAACTTTAATTTATCAATTTATTTATTAATTTACAAATTAATAGAAAAATTAAACGTCGCAACATAGCATTTTATAATAATGTAGCTGTAGTACATAATGTAAGATATGAAGCTTTATTCGTGTCGGTTGAATAAAATTGTTTTTAGATAAAGGTTGTACAATGCAGAAATAAATCTTCGCGATATACCGAGAATTTATTCCGCACGATCTTTCACAGAGATAATCCTGACGCGCGTAGATATGAAACCCACGTAAGGTCACTGAAGCGATTCAGGGTAAAGACTTGGACAGACTTTTGAATCGCGTTCTGCCTACGCGAGCACTTACGGATGCGCTCTTCATGGCGACCGTATCGACACCAGTATCTTCGATTCGACACGCCGCCAGGACGTTTATATACGCATGTAGTGGCGTGTAACCACGCCCTGCAGCGTATTTGCATCTTTTCTTTCGAAATGCGAATTTGTGAAGTTGCCGCGAACTGGTCACGCGAGTGCCTTCGAGGTCGCGGGCACTTTGGAATCCGGCTTCGTGGTGCTTGCTTTCCGCCAAGCGCTGGCTTTTTTTACAGGATCCGCTTGACTATGCCCTAACACGTCCGACCGTCAAGGTCGCGCACAATATTGCGCACGGCGATACGGCGATCATAATCGGAAGTGCCCCGAGCAGGATCGCGAGGAGGAGAATATCGCGGATTTTATTGGCGCTGATTTATCGCCCGCATAATCGCGGAACGTCTCTCGTTCGTTAACACCGATCGGTCGCTCGGGGGTGCAATCTCGGTAAACTGCGAAGTCTTATGATCGCTGCAGCGAGGTACAAGAACATTTTATTACCTTCCTGCGTTTACACATTTTTTTATCAAGACTTTAGATATCTCTTATTCGATTTTACATGGTTTTTTGTAAGAATAGATATTCGTTTTGTATGTATGATATTTATATTTTTGTAAATCTAGTGCAGAATACATATAATTCTCGGCTGAAGATCATCGTTTCTACAAGCAAGAAATGAACGTGTAACGATTATTTTGTCTGAAACGCAATTATCTAACAGTACGCTAATAAGACATATATTTTCTTCAAATGTAAATTTTTCTTTAATAGATCAATCTGCCGTAAGCGAGAGCCGGTCCGGCGATCGCTACAGCGTCGACGGATTTCACGTTGTTCGCCAACTTCGGGTTGCTCACAATCGCTTCTGCATCCAGCGGCCTGCCCTCGGGACCAACGGGCACCAGAGCTGCGACGACGCCATTGCCGAGCACCAACGGTATTAGGGAGCCGTGTACGACTCGCGCGAGGACGTTATTCGATCTTGCAGCTTCGTTCGCCAGATTGATTCTCTCGTGGACGTGCGCGGCTCTGGCGGCCGTGACTTCCGGCGTGTCCAAGACTCGGCCATCAGGACCGAGCACTGCCTTGGGCGCGGTCATCGCGCTGTCGGTGGCTTCCGGCGAATCGGACACGTTGTCGTTGGATCGAGCAGCCTCGTTTGCCAAATTTATCTTCTCGTTGACATGAGCGGTCGCGTGCGCAGCTCTGGCGGCCGCGACTTCCGGCGTATCCACGACTCTGCCGTCGGCGCCGAGAGGCGCGGGAGACGTCAGGACCGGCGGCACCCCATTGTTGACGAGCAGAGACAATTGTCGTCTTTGTATTGGCGCAACCGATCGCACGTATTCGTTCACCAGGTTCACTCTTCTCGCGACATCCGCGCTGTCCAACGCTCCGCCATTGGATATCGCATGCGTAGAGGGCACCGACAGGAAGGCCGGCTTGGCCGAGACCAGACTGATCAGGCCAAGCGACACAATCGCGCAAAGCCTCATCTCTGCACTCTAAATAAAATCGGAAGTGACAGTCCTCACACAGCGACGGATGAATAGTATCGACGACGAGCAGCGCAACGTCGAGATGCACTCTAAGCGCACTGGTGCGGCTGCCTTTATAGTTCTCCTCGGTCACGTAATAGGATAATCGATACAAGATCGTAGGATGGCGCAAGTGAGAGATCTAGAGACGCCCGATGAAAAGCTGCGTGCGGTCGCAGCCACTTCCTGGGCAAGGTAAGCCTGTTTGTAAAGCGAGAGCTTACGGGCAAACGCGACGCGAGGGGGCGGAAGGGACAGGAGGGATGAAACGGAGAGGGATTTTCTTTCCGTCTTTCTTACGAGGCCGGGAAGACACCTGATCCCGTTTCCATTTCTCCACTAGGTCGACCATGATCTAGAAGGTCGCCGCTGGGCTGAAGGCTGCATTGATCGCGTAATGAGCGCTAGAGCAGACTTATTGTTGTTTTTGCTCGATTAAGTAAGAGTATACCTGCCCGGCATGTTACTTAATCCCTGATTAGTCCGGTGAAAACGGATTCGTTGATCTTGTTGTTCTCATTTTGGCTTGGGAAACTTTTAATTAACTTTTATTGTATGATTTTAAGAATCACGTCTTTCTTGTCGCATTGAGAAACTCTTGAATTACCTATTGTGTGAGTTTTAAGAACACTTTTTTATTGGTTAACAAAAATTGAAGCCTTCAAATACCAAGATGAAAGATTGGAATAACTTTTTTTGTAAAAATTTAGACATTGTAGTGGCACATGATGGCCATTAAACAGATTAAACAGATAAAAATGGAACATAAGAGATTTTCTTTTTATCAAAAGTATTATAAGGGTGATATATTCACGTCACCTCTTAATTAAACCCAAACCAAATAGAGCGAAATCATTAAACGCGACGTAGAAAGAGCGAGCGCAACGAATCATTCATTCGATTGCTTTTACGCAGGTCCGATCGATCTAGTCGAGAAAGGAACCAATTTAGGCGAGCGTCGCAAGGACGAATGTCAATGTCAGGCGTGCTGGTATGCACGGTGGATGGGGTATTCCCATATCGCTGTAGACATCCTGGTAACTCGCCATTCGACACAAAGTCTTTTTTTCCCCCGAGGGATATATAAAGCCGAGTGGACAGGGTGGAGTACGACACATTATCTGAGCACCTTGGCGAGTACTGATCTTCAGCAGCGCTAAGGAGTCATTCCGTTCGACATGCAGACCTTTGTGAGTATCAATAATGTTCGACTCATGTTGTTGCTCGCAAATGCAAATAAAGAGAAAACAAGTCAGTTCGATGTGATTCGTTCAATTGCGGGATGAATTTAAACCATTCTATGTTCAGAATTCCTCCGGTGTTTTTAAACAATTATAGATATTTTAACTTTTCTACAATATATCGTCACAGTGAAAGTGTAATACAATATAATTTAACAGAAGAGATATTATGAGTAATAAAAAAATTTGCTAATATGTGCCACCTTTGCGTTTTTCTTGAGATTAAATTCACGTCGACTCCGTGACGTATAATTTTCTCTCTCTCAGAATTTATTTAACAATAAGTGAATACAGAGTGTCTGAAAGAAGATACAAATTAACTGAATATTTCATTGCACAATAAAAGATATATTTTACAACGCGCATATTACAATATCCTTTTCAGGTTGTTTTCTCCGCCGTTCTGGCTTGCACCTTTGCTTCGCCTCTGGTGAAGCTGGTGCCCGGTGCACCGATCGGACTGGACGGCCGAGTAGTGGACACCACGGAAGTGTCGTTGGCCAAGGCCGAGCATGCGGCCGCTCACGCCAACGAGAGGATTAATCTGGCGAAAGAAGCAGCCAGATCGGCCGACCACGTGCTCGCTTACGTCGCACCGGCCGATGTGGCCGTGATCGGTAGATCTCAATTGGTGCAACCGATTGCGGTGGCGACGAAACTGGTTCCCGGTGCGCCGATCGGGCTCGACGGGCGCGTGGTCGACACTCCGGAAGTGGCCCTCGCCAAGGCGGAACACGCGGCGGCGCATATCAACGAGAAACTCGGCCACGAAGTTGCGAGATCGGCCTCCCAGTCGGTCGTCCTCTTGGATCACGGCGTGCCGCTCGTTAATTACTACGTTTATTAAATTTAACTCACACATTATATCTGCATACAATAATATTGCTCATGTCAAAATGTAAATAAATAAGGATTATTTTGCGCGGCGTAATCTCGAGTATTTTATTTTGCGACCTCCTTACGAAGAAGAAGATTACATCAAAGAATTGTTTTTAAATGTTCTAAAATAAGGCACTTTCTAATTTGTGAAAGTTAAATCCGCCGATTTTTTTAATCCTTTGTATTCTGTAATAAATTCATCATCTTATTCCAACTCAGTGAAAAATTTTTTTTACTTTAAAAGGTAAATGTTGAGAATAGTTTGACATCCGAGCTGCTGAAACGAAATGTTATATCGAGCATAGCTCGACTTGCGCGAGTTGTGAGGATAACATTCATATACGATCTGTGATTAAAATGTTGTAACAAATGCTTTTCGCAATCCGAAATGTTGCCAACAATACGTAATCTCGTTAATAATAGTGGTATAATTGCAGAAACGATGACAGACTCGTTGCGTACAATCTTTGGCCGTTTCTTGCACGGCTGATTTTTTAGGTCATCTCACGGCACTGCATGGTCCACGTAATATTGGCAGGTTAGGCTTTGTGTGCAATCGCTCAGGTTTTTCGCGAGCACTGATGAAAAAAAAAATCGCCGCTGTTTTCTCGCTTTATACACACGCGTCGCGCACACAGCGATTTCGCGACGAACTTGTGTCTCATCGAATCCCGCAGTGCAAAATTCGCTCGGTTTCGCAGAGAACGAGAGATATTTCGACCTGCTTCGCCATAAATCGCTATGTGTAGGTCTCGCGTCGGAACATTTTTGCATCTCGCTACAGAGAACAGCGGTGAATTGACATTGAGAGCGGCAACAGTCGCCCTGTCACTTTCATAACATCGATATTCCTTGCACGGCGAGCGAAGGGCCGGCAGATCGATCACCCGTCGATTCGATCGAGCGCAACAATGCAGATGCAGAGTGATAAGTCTGCGATAGAGTAATGAGCAAGCGTTAATGAGCGAAACGACAAAGAAAAGCGCGAATGCGTGCGATAACAGTGACGCGTCACCTTGCCTGTCTACATTTATTTGCGGCGGGGATTTGCGTGTCATGCGGTATCAAAGGTGTCAACGTGACACTCCTTTTATGCACGTCGTATCCTTTATATAGCACGTTCAATATGTAACATATATTTCTTCAGAAAAGATTATTACTCTGTGATTATTATTACTCTGTGCTCTGAAATATATTAAATTGTTATTAATCAAATTGAGCAAATAGTGGCTCGACAAGTTACAATTAATATAAATTTTAAATTGCAATATATTTATAACTCTGCAATATTAATACCACGCAATACGATCTTACATACATTAAGATTAAAAAAACTAATCTTTGATCGCGGTGGCGCGGACTCTGCATAAACGATCGGATCAGAACCATACAACGTCATAATTACATTGCAAGCACTGTCCTTTGTTTTGTAGGAATGCATTCTCAATGCAGTTCGTCCTTCGACTTCGAGTCCTTCGTTTGCTCAGGGCTGGTAAGTCGTTTAACGCTGGTACACGCCTTTATTATTTCTCGACATCAAGATTCATTTTATCAGCGACATGATTTAACCAGTATCATTCAGGGCAAAACAAAAAACAGGCGTTTGACAATAAAAACGTCGAATTAATGTACTCATTTAATCATAAGAAGTGACGATTATTAATTATCGCCGCGGAATTCGAATCTGTGCGAAAAAGAAACAAATGAAAAAAGAACGATCAATATATTAAGATAACACAAATCCATATTCTTCAGTTTTTGTATTCGGGAAGTTTGAATCTGTCAATCAAGGTGCAGCCAGGTGCACCATTCGTTCCCCGACACGTTTCCGGTCGTGGATTGCAGAAGTCGCGTTTAAATGTCAAGGGCGTCGATGGCGAAAGAGAGTGAAAAAGGGAGGAGAAACAACCTTCCCTTTTTCCGATCCACGGGCGAACTTCCCGGGCCACCGGGTAGCCGATCACCTCTCCGGCTCCCTCCGGCGATCGGTAATCATGTGGCCGGGGAGGGAGACAGTTGAACGCGCGACTATAAATGGCACCAGCCGGCCGTTCGCCAGGATCACAAAACCGACGACCGGCCCGGGCCTCACTACTCCTGGAAACGAGTACTGACGGACAGCAGCGCTCTTTTTTTTTTAAGAAGAAGTTGCGAGAATCCGAGCGGTGGATATACAACGCCCCTGGATCGTCATGAGACGCGTGGTGAGTGAGATCCTGGGACAAAGGAAAGTGAAAGGAAAGTTGCGATAGGTTCGACGAAACCACCCAGCGCGAGAAATGCCGATCACGATCGCGCAACGATAACTCGATAAGCAATGGGTCAAGCTGTCGATCGCATAACAGTGTTGAAGACCGGTGATTATTCAAATGAGTCTGGGAATCGCCTCTCTTGCTCAAGAGACGCCAAATTCCGACGAATAGTCAACAAGTATCAGGAAAAAAGATTTGTAAAATAACAATCAACGGTATATAATACTCCGCGGAAAGTATAAAAATAACTTCCGTAATGTTGGAGCAAATGTACATTTTTTTCAATAAAATTATGATTACTTTACTAATTCAAGTTGGTTTCTCTTCCAGATTTTTTTACTCGCTACGGCGATCGCCTGTAGAGGCGCGTACGTCGGTCCGTCCCCGTACGGCAACCCCCTGGACCACCGTCATTCGCAACAGATCGCATCGAACTACGCGCCGCCAGCTCCGGTCGGCGAGGACGGCAATGTCATCGACACGCCGGAAGTGGCGCAGGCCAAGGCCGCGCATTTCGCCGAATTCGCGAGGGCCGCGGCCCGGGCGGCTCACGACGAGAAGCAGCACCTGCCGCAGCAGTCCTCCGGTTACAACCCGCAGATCTCGTCGCCGACGTACAGCTATCCGGCCGTGCAACCGACCGCGGTGCCTTATCTCCGACAGGCCGGCTATCAGCAATCCACTCCGCTTTATCAGACGGCCAACCACGTGTCGGCGCCCGTCTACGCCCCGGTTAACTATCAGCAACCGCAGCAGTACGACGCCCGAGCTAATTTCATTGACCCCAAAAACTACGCGCTGCCCGCGAAGACCGCTGTTTTTGCGCCGGCACCGCTGGCCGAGGACGGAACAGTCGTGGACACGCCGGAAGTGGCGGCCCTAAAGGCCGCCAGGTTGGCCGAGCTCGCCGAGGCCGAGGCTCGGGCTCACAAGCATGCGAGCGCTCATCCGAACGAAGAGCAGGGTCAAGGTGAGCTGAGCAGAGCAGGGAGAGATCGATGACTTGCCCCGCGTGGACAGACGAATATGCGCGGGCCGCATAAAACGCGACTAAACTTGAGATTAACGAGAATAGGGACAGCATGAACTATTTTGAAATTTATTTGCAACGGCGTACAAAAGAACTAAATTTATAAATTTGATTTATGCAAAATATTACAAAAATGAAAATAAAAATCGAGGAGCATAAGTATAATACTTTATTGTCTAAGAATTAGATCAGTAAAAGAAATTTAAGAAATCTCTGTATTAAAAATATTGAATTTTTTTACAGTAATAAAGTTAATTTTTTTCTATTTTTTAAGAAATTTATTCTAATTAATTTCGCGAATTTTTTGCGCATTTGTGTACTTATTTCTTTCAATTTAAATATTTTTCAAATAATATTTTGTATTATTTTAGTTTACTCGGGGCCATCAGTCGGTTCCGCTCCTATCAATTATAATCCTGGTTTGGGACATTATGGTGCCTCCCGAGCGTTCCCAGGACCTTCATATCCTGGATCTCAGCCTTACTCTGCACAGCAAGTGTACAATCCCGGTTATCAGCCTCATCATTACCAGTCTCAGCATTTAATAGGAAATTACTGATTCTGAGTGATTAATCGATCAATTGTGACACGTTCCGAAGCCTGTACATACTTTAGATGAATAAATTGTTTTCCTTTCCTATTTACCATATTTTTTTTACAACACTTATTATAAAAATACTTTTATGTACGCCTTTTCTTTGAACATCTGATAATTGTGATACATAAAGACTGTTAAAAATAATTTGGTCAAAGATTAACCCGACTTCCTGTCTTCTCCAACTTTGTCTTTATTCCTTTTTCTTTCTCTTTCTGTGAAATTAATTATCCCAAACATTTAACAGCTACTTACTTAAGTGTAATTATATAGATAAAAAGATTCTGTTTATTATAATCACTTGTTTATTGTAAATTAACAAATTATATAAATTGGTTATTGCTACTGTAAATTAATAAATATTGTGTTGAAAAATAATTTTGCAATTTGCATGTATGAAAGATCACAAAATAATACGACAATTAATATTTATAACTTTATCATGCAATGTCTAATAGTTAATTAAGCTGGAAATTGAACCACTTACACGCCCACCTACTTTTCAATTTTGTATTTTGCATTGCATCTAATTTGTAAATTAAGCATAGCTAAAATGTATTTTACCATACTGAATCCGCGAAAATATTATTTCACAATTGTGAAAGTGCGTCAAATGCATGCAAATGTTTAATTAATAAACTTTTGCAAATTAGAATATAATTGTGTCAGCTTTTCGGTAAATTTCATGCGTAATTGTACTGAATCGTAGCATGAAATTTAGATGAAAATTAATATATCAAACTAATTTAAATTTTGGATCGATCACTAAGGCGTACAAAAAAAGTTTTACAAAAAATTGCAGTGCGAAACCTCGCCTTAGAAGAAATCGCGGCGATTCATGACGCAATTGTTGTGTCTTAATTCAGATAAAAATCGAAGAGGTAAGAAAAGAGCAATCAGATTGTCGCGAGTTTCCGATTAGGAAAGTTCTGCGGTGTCGTTGGACCAAAAATATCATAACGATCATCTCGTACGATTGCGGTCTATGCGCATGCAATTTTGCGCAAACGAAATCCAGCATTCGCGGGGAAAAAAGAAGTGAAATGTTTGATGCAATACATGGCGTTGCACCAATTTATACAACTTAACACATAAATACGATACATAAGATATTAATTTGCTGCAAAATACATAATTATTATTTAAATGCAATGCTTACTTTTTAGAAAGCGTGCTATATTTACAACACACGTTATATTACAACGTAACTGAAGTCTGGGAACTGAGGAATATCATGTAAATTCTATTGAAACATAGTCATCTCGCAGTTACAGTTGTGAATGTTGCCACATAGGTCACCGCTGTACGAAAGACGTGAGAAGAAACGAATGAGAGAGCGGAATAATGGCTCCGTTCCTAGAGAATGAACTCGAGCATCGTGATTCGGTATACTTTACAATGAAAAGGTCAGGAATCGTAACCTGTCTATGTAATGCGGAATATCCGTGAATGCAGAAAAGATGATCGTATGAGAGATTAAAGTGAGATCGAAATTAGAGAGTTTGAAACAGATGCTCGGAGAATAGCGTTGCGTTAAAGATGACATCATCGTCGAAGCCTGCGACATTACCGAAAGTCATCTCTCTCGCCAAAACTTTCTGAAGAAAAAAAATTCATTTTATTCATGACAAAGTGCAACTTTGTCTACACGTTGATAATCATTTTGCATACAATTACGTTGGTGAATTCACCTCGATATAAAGACACAAATCGAATAATGCGTTCGTTTCAGAGGAGCTAAAAGTTCCAACGCCGTCTAAGAATTGGCGAACTCTGCGTAGAATATCGCAGCCACGTCGGATCGTGGTTTAACTCATTACGTGTACCAGGGATTATGTATTACGAGACCTCGTTTTG